GCAATATCTCCCATGCCGGTCTGTAACCCAGCTACCCAACCCGGGGTTGTCTCGCGGGGTTTCTGGGCCTCTCTTGCCCGTCTCCCCATGGGGCTGGCGGGCTCATCCTCATCCTCCTCCTCGTCAGGGATCAGGCTCGCCACGGTGTACTCCTGTCCCGACCCTCGGAGCTGCGCGCGTTCGCTGGAGAGCTCCTCACACTCCAGCGCTTGCTCGACTAGGGTATCGAAAGGGAGGCCTGCGCTACTCTTTTTGGGCTGCCACCACGCGGTGCGAGCTAGGTACCTGAGTAGCTTGTCTGCAGCTAGCGCGTCAATGACCTCCTTCGAGAACTCTGGACGGGCGATCCGGGTTAGTGATCGCACGTCCTCAGCGTAGTCTCGGAAGTCCTCGCCAGTTTGGCGTCGGCGCGCCTCTAAGGCGGTCTTCGCCCGTATCGCGTTGCGCGTGCCGAAACGCAGGTCTAATCTACGCATTAGTTCTTCTAGTTGGGTTTGCGCGCTTTCGGGTAGTGCCTCTACAAAGTCGGCTGCCCGCCCGTCTAAGTTTAACGTAAGATGTCGCAACGCCTGCGCGTCCGACCAGCCATTAAGCTCTTTAGCCCCTATGATATTACGGGAAAACGCTTTCCATGTAGGGGTCCCCTGGCCGGTGAACACATGCCTTACCTTTGCGTGGAGTAGCGCGCCACCTTCCCGTGAAGATGTGAGGGTTCGTCCCACTTCTGGCACCAAGTTGTTGGGGCCGCTGGTCCCCGGAGTCCCTCCCTGCTCCGTGCCTATGGCAGGGGCTCCGCCGTGCGCCGACCCCTCGCTGCTCTGCGAGCAGCTGCTGCCGTCGCTGGGCTCATCGCCCGACGGCTCCCCTCCCTGGTCCGTCCCTCCGCGAGCTCGTGTGAGAGGCATAGCTCGCCGCACGCCCTCGTTCACCTGCAGACGCTGCGTTGTCTCTCCACGGATCACGCGTTCCTGCTGGATGCCCACGGCGGTTCGTTGATCCCGTGCTCGCAGCGCACCTCGATGCGTCTCACGGACGATCGGGTCGCTGGACTGGAGAGCGTCCTGTCGCCTGGCGCTGGAGAGAAGAGCGATTTCCCTCTGCGCTCCTCTATTTATCCTCCCTACCTCAAAGGGGATGCTGCGCTGAACAATGAGCTCGTGCACCCCAAGCCCGCGCACGGCGGTTCCCGGGCGCTGTTGATATGCTAATCAGTGAGCGTTGGCGGCGTACATCCTAATTACTCCCTTACCCTTCCTAACAATGGGGCCTGCGCGCTCAAGCGCAATTATCCCAACCCTCCATGACTATGCGCAACAGCCCCTGTGACCCCGCTATTCATGCTGTCCCGTACCTCCCCTGCTCGCCCCGTCGACCCGTGGGAGTGTGTGTGGGGGGAAATGCGCCTCAACCGCGGTGGCCGGATGCCCCACGCTGCGACCACACCATATTAAGGCCGGCCGCAGCGCCGCGGTGCCACGTAGCACGGGGGAGGTCATCCAATTCCCTGATCGCCGGAAACCGTGAGAATTAAATCCCGATAAGGGTCTCTCGGATAAAAACCGGTCGGCCAGGCGACCTCCCCTCGGAGCTCTATGGGGGGGGGGGAAATGAGTGCGGGTGTGTTCATGTGAGGTGAGGTGAGGGGGACGCGGGGTCGGCTCCGTTGCTTGGTGGTGGCGAGGTCGGGGATTTGGTGCCTGCCGAACGGCTTCGTGGCGGCGGCATCACAGGGTCACGGCCCAACCACCACCACAACCACCACAACCATCACCACCACCAACCACCACCACAACCACCACCACGCAGCAGCACCACCACCACCACACCCACAACCACCACCACCACCACAACCACCACCACAACCACCACCACCACAACCACCACCACCACAACCACCACAACCACCACCACCCACAACCACCACCACGCAGCAGCACCACCACCACCACCATAACCACCACCACCACAACCACCACCACAACCACCACCACAACCACACCACCACCACCACAACCACCACTACCACCACAACCACCACCACGCAGCAGCACCACCACCACCAACACCACAACCACCACAACACCACCACCACCACCACAACCACCACCGCCACAACCACAACCACTACCACAACCACCACCACCACAACCACCACAACCACCACCACAACCACCACGCAGAAGCAGCAGCAGCGTTGTTCACGACGAGTCACGGCGAGGCTCTCGTGGGTCAACCATTAGTGTCGTTGTTGTTGTTGTTATGGGAGAAGGGGGTGGTGCAGTGCCCAGCGCACTGCTCGACGAACCCGGCGGCGGCCTCCTGTGTTCCAGTGCCCCCCCCTCCGCTCCCGGCTAACATCAGTGGCGAGTGATATCCACCCACCCGCACGCAGCACCCTCCTCGACAGCATGGACAGACCACCGCGGCGAACCATCGGAAACCAACTTACACGGTCGACGCAGAGCCGAACATCAGTGCTCGCAGTCCGTCTGCGAGGACTAATGAATGTCGCTCAGTGGGAGGTCGCTCATTTCTCTCTGCTGCCCCCACTGTCTGGAGCTCGCATCCCCCAGGCGCCAGTGGTGCCGACATTTTTCTTGTCCCCGTGCAAGTCCAGGCTCAAGACCTTCCTGCTCTTCCCTGCCTGTGACTGCCTGCCCCTCTCCCACAGACTCACACAGAGACACACAGACTCAGACAGAGACCCAAATATTCACGCGGAGATCCATAGACTCAGACAGAGACCCACAGACTCACACAGCCATCCATAAACTCACACAGAGACCCATATACTCACACAGAGAGCCATATACTCACACAGAGATTCATAGATTCACACATAGGCCCACAGACTCGCACAGAGATCCATATACCCTCACACAGGCTCATAGACTCACAAGGGAGACCCATAGACTCACACACAGGCTCATAGACTCACAAGGGAGACCCATAGACTCACACACAGGCCCATAGACTCACAAGGGAGACCCATATACTTACACACAGGACTATAGACTCACAAGGGAGACCTATAGACTCTCACACAGGCCCATAGACTCATACGTAGACCCACAGACTCACACAGAGACTCACATACTCACACGTAGACCCATAGACTCACACAGAGACCCACATACTCACACAGAGACCCACATACTCACACGTAGACCCATAGACTCACACAGAGACCCACATACTCACACAGAGACCCACATACTCACACGTAGACCCACATACTCACACAGGCCCATAAACTCACGCGTAGACCCACAGACTCACACAGAGACCCACAGACTCACACGTAGACCCACAGACTACACAGAGACCCATGGAGTCACATTGAGACCCATGACTCACCGCAGATGACGCCCGCCGTCTCTGCACATCGCGATGAGATTGCGGTCAGCTCCAGACGCCGCGTCACGTATCTGCATTGCATCGCGTTATGGTGATGATGGTGAGGAGGAGGATTATGATACAATGCGGTGTTTTGGCTTAGTCGTTGGTGACCGGGTTGAGACCGGAACCGGGCAGTGCGCCCCATGCCCCGCCCGTGTGGTCCCGATCGCGAGACGGTGGCGTTCAGAGTTGGAACTCGGCGAACTCGGGACCCTCCGGAACTCGGTGCTTTACCTTCAAGTCCTTGGGGGCTTCCAAGAAGAGACTCGCTCACTGACTCAGTCACTCGCCTGCTCACTCACTCAGCCACTCACTTATTTGATCACTTAGCCACTCACTCAGCTGCTCACTCACTCACTCAGCCACTCACTTACTTGATCACTTACTCAGCCACTCACTTACTTGATCACTTAGCCACTCACTCATTTGATCACTCAGTCACTCACTCACCTGCTCACTCACTCACTCAGTCAATCACTCACTTGCTCACTCACCCAGCCACTCAATTACCTGTTCACTTACTCAGCCACTCACTCACTTGATCACTCACTCAACCACATACTCACCTGCTCACTCACTCAGCCAATCACTCACCTGCTCGCCCACTCACTCAGCCAATCACCCACTTGCTCACTCACTCAGCCACTCACCTGATCACTTACGCAGCGACTGATTTACCCGATCACTCACTCAGCCACTCACTCATCTGGTCACTCACTCAGCCACTCACCAGCTCATTCACTAACCCGCTTACTTACTGACTCGGTGAGTGAGCGTGAGTTGATGAGATGAGCCGGTGGGTGAGTGAGTGTTTGAGTGAGCAGGCGAGTGAAGGGGCAGGCGAGCGGGTGGGTTTGTGGTACAGTGAGTCAATTAGTCTCAGTGTGTGCAGAGTTGAGTGCGGTGTATGGTGGTCGGCTCAGCCTCAAATGAGAATCTGGAGATACAAAGGCGGCCGCGCTGGCCCTCGACCCCTTCGTGTGCCGCGTCCGGCCTTAATAGGTGCGCTCGCCGACAACGCGTGCGACCCAAACACAGTCCGACAAGGCGAACGAACGACTCGAGCGATCGAGCGAGCGAATGAGTGCCCGCCGTGGCCGAGTGCGGTTTGAGTGAGAAGCGAGGGGAGTGAGAGAAGGTTGAGTCAGTCGGTGAGTGGCCGGCACAAGAAACGGGTGAGGTAAAGGATGAAGGGGGTGTGTGTGTGGGGGGGTGGGGGTGTGGGGGGGGGGGCTATGGAGCCGGGCTATTCGCATCACTCGGCTCTGGGCTCTTTGTGTGAATCGAAAGGGAACATCGTGTACTCTCCTGCCCGCTCGCTGCCTTTACAGAAACGTAAACGAGAGGGAGGGGAGGGGGGGAGCCCGGCTTATGATGAGGGCTCGCCCCTGTGTACACGGCGGCGGTGGTGGTGGTGTTGGGGCGGCGTGGGGGCGGGGCTGCTCTTCCTGTAAGGCGTACTTACTAGAATCCCAGCGCGAATCTCTTCCGCGAAACCACGTGCGCGTCGCGTGTATTGAGGAAACTCAGCCCCTCCACCCAGTGCCCCCAATCCCCTCCCTCCCCCTGCCTCCCTCCCCCCAGCTCTCTTAAATGAGGCACAGAAGACGCGAGCCAGAGGCGTTCGCAGTCGCGGCAGATTGAACCACGACGGGTGGTAGTCGCGCACGGCGACCCACGCGCAGGGGACCCGTACACTCAAGGGCTCCCACGGGAACCAACGCTCCGGGACTCGTACACTACAGGACTCACCCCGACCCTCACCCCCCGGGGAACCAACGCTTCGGTTTACCGGGACACGCTCGTTACGTCGGCCCCGTATCGGGATTCGAGCGCACGCCGAGAGGAGGAGTGGACTCCGTCGGCCCATGGGGTTCATCTGCCCGGGTAAGCGAGTCCCACTCGGCGCCCCGTGGCTCTCCCCCCCCCCCCCCTCCGTGCCTGGTGACATGTTAACACGCGTAGGTGGCAGGCGACATGTGACATGTGGCATGTGACATGTAACGGCGCGATCAACTTGATACGCTGCTGGGGCGTTTTGGCTGTTTACTCCCAAACGACTTCAACCCAGAGCCTGTCACGTATGTTCACCTGGTCAAGGTCAGGGTCATGTTTGGATCAGCAATGAGTGTTTAGCTTCATGAGCAGGGTCTGGGCTAAGGTTAGGGTCAGGGTCAAGTAGTGTCAGTGATCAGGGTTAGGGCACAAACACACCATCGCGTGTTGTGTATTCATGCAGCATCGAAGTGCAACTCCTTGCTTTGGGCGGTCAGGCTTAGGGGCTATCACCACGCTCAAAGTTCGTCACATTTGGGAGCAGTCTTAGAACCATCGCTAAGGTCATTGCCCAGTTGAGGTTCAGCACCGACAGCTTCGCTGACCTCTAACCCCGCTCCCTCCCCTGCCAGGTCGCCGCGAGTTGGACGCAGCGTCCGCGATGGGAGTGCGCGTGGTCGCCGCGGGGAGCGCCGCCGCTTCCACCGAGAGTCGCCCCTTCGCTGGCGAGCCCGGCACCGACTCACGAGCCGCGCGCCTCTGGAGGGAGCCGCGCGCGTGGGCCCCGCACCCGGGCCCCGTGTCCCCTCCGCTGCCTCGACCCCCTCGCTCCTCCTCCTCCTCGTCGGCGGTGGCGGTGACGGTAGTGGACGCGGCACCCGTGGCCACGCGGCTTCGCTCGTTCACTTCTGCGCAGGAACTTCTCGCCGTGCAGCGCACGGTGGCGGCCCTGGCCGAGAGCGGCTTCTACTGGGGCTCCGTGGCCGGGCCCGAGGCTCGGCGTCTGCTCGCCTCGCAGCCCGTGGGCACTTTCCTGGTGCGCGACAGCACCGACCCGCGCCACCTCTTCAGCCTCACGCTGCGCACGCGGCTCGGCGCCACGAGCGTGCGGGTGCAGCTGCACGCGGGGCGGTTCCGCCTCGAGTGCAGCCAGCGCAGGGACGCGTTGCCCGGCTTCGACTGCGTGCTCAGGCTCCTGGAGCACTACGTGCGTCCTGCGGGACCCCCCGGCGTCGACTTCAACAACGGCGACAACAACAACAACGCCGACAACGCCGCCGCGCAGAGCGGGGCTGGTGGCCGTGGTGGGGGTGCATCCCACCGGCACGCACAGAGAGGGGGGCCCCTCGCGGTCACGGAGAGGGGGTCCGTAGCAGAGAAGCGGCGAGCGCAGCAGCAGCAGCGGGAGCAGCAGCAGCAGCAGCAGCGGAGGAGGAGGAGGCGGCGGCGGCGGCGAGAGCGGCTGCCGGTGTGGCGGGCAAGGGACGCACGCCGCTTTTGCTCACGCGGCCTCTGCGCCACACGCGCGTGCCGCAGCTGCAGCACCTCGCGCGCAAGGCGGTGCACCGCGCGCTCGCGGGACGCAAGCCCGAGCAGCTACAGCTGCCCTCTCTGCTGCAGGGATACCTCGAGACGTACCCCTACCAGCTGTGACGGGGAGAGGGAGAGAGGGGGCGGGGGCGATGACCGCCTGCAAACGATTTGGGAGGAGGTGCGTGTTGGGGTGGTGGGGGGTAAAGCCGGGACACGTGACTCTGCCGGTTGTCTGCTGGGACTCTGTCGGAGGGGGGGGGGGGCTCCGTGCCAAAGCCATGGCGGATGTCTAAGGCCCCCCCCACACCCCACGACTCCACCACCACGCGCACGGAGTGACTGTGAAAGGTGGACGTTGGGTGCCTGCCAGGGCTGAGTTCGCAGTGCACCACGTGGTTTTGTAGATTATTTTATTATTATTATTATGATGCAATAGAGACTGGGGGGGGGGGGCTCACGGCACAACTGGGGAGGGGGGGGCTCACGGCACAACTGGGGGGGGGGGAGGAACATGTGTTCCATGGACTGTGGAAGAGGTGACCTGGCAACGCGGAGACCTGCGATGGAGGGACTTAGGGTTGCTCTGATCCTGGGCAATGAGACGACCTGCAACTGAAGAGATGAAGAGAACAAGAGAGCTCGCAGATGGAGGGGAGCGTTGGTGAGAGCTCTGGGGGAGTGATGGAGGGACGCGGGAGGGGCAGGTGGGGCGCGTGAAGGTTGAGGCCGCGTCGGATCCGGACGGCTGGGTGAGACTTTACTTGAATTCCCGTGTTTACAGGCAATACGGCCACGTGTTCACTGTGGTGTCAATGTCGGTGTCAAGGGTCACGTTTCGCGTGCGCGGCGAGGAAGATATATTTATTGTGTGCAGTATTTATACGGAGTCCACGATGGCCGTCAGGTCAAGCACCACCCACCACCACCACCACCACACCCATCACCACCACACCACCACCCACCACCACCACCACGACCCACCACCACCACAACCACCCCACCCACCACCACCACCACCACCACACCACCACCATGTCACGACTGCTGCGGCAGTGGTGGTGATGTTGACTGCGATGGTGACACAAGTTATATGGATGGGTTGGTGCGCGGTCGACAACCACGATGATGGCGAGAATGGTGGGGATTGCGATGGTGGTGATTGTGGTGGAGGTGCTGATGGTGGTGGCGGCGGTGACTGTGGTGTTGGTGAGCGATGTGGTCGATGATTCACATGATTGTGAACGAGGAGCACGAGGGAGCGCGAGCCTTTGAGCTTCTGAGACGAAATAAACCAAAGCGACTTCCACTTCTGGCGAACTCTCTGCTTCTTTGTCCCCGGCGGGCGGTGGCGGATGGGGGAGGGCACCCTCACAGACGCGAGATGTCCCTTCCCCAGACGCCGCTTGCGACGTTGGCACAGCTGGCCGCTGTCTGCGTCACGACACGAGA